ATCCTGAGGGCTCAAAGAGGTTAGTCTTCATGATGTGACTTAAGGCTGTACCAAGAGTCCCCTTTTATTCCAAAAGCCTCACCCTGATGCCTGTCATTCCTCATTTAGCTTCATTAGTTTGTGACTTAATTGCCCTTAATAGTCACCTATGGAATTTAATAATACTTAAGGCACTGGTCAAAGTAGACAATGCTATGCCAAAGGACAAGCTAGAGTCTCAGTGTCCTGATGTAGCAAAAGTATGTCTTGCTCATGCAAAGTCTGATGCAGGTGTTTAGAGTCCTCTCAGGGGACCAGGGATGAGACAAGGAGAGCACGGAAGACGGTGCAGGATGTTTTAAATTCACAGCATGCAGATCATGTAGGCCCACAAGTGGAGTACATCCCTTCCATCCACAGTCCATCCCTGTCCATGCACGAGGCTGGGAAATGCAGGGAAGCAGAGGGGTGGGGAAGACTACCCTGCCCACCACAGTCCTAAAAGAATTGCTGCTTTGGTCCTTACCTGTCAGCACATTAGCTAACTACCGAGAGTCAGTAACAACGACAGGCATCAGTAGTGTGTAAGGAGTCTCTTCTACGGGACAGGACCAGAAAGGAAGAGGGTCAGTGACAAAGACAAGTCACTGTCAAGTGTACATACTTGACAGTTTTTCTGGGTTTTGCCTAAATTCAAAGATCTGTCTACTAAACCTCACTTGCTCTCCAGCACATTGCTCATGCTTCTAAATGCTTCTGTGGTGTGATGGATTAGAACTTCCATTGTGAAGTTCTCTCAGAAACACCAGAAATAAAGCTGTTTGTTCACTTACGTCAAAGAGGCAAAGAAGTACTTTGGAAGACACAACTAAATAAATAAATCTTTTCCTGACAAGTTGCCTGTAACAGAGCTCAATACATTGACATATTTTTCCCATTAATTTCTACCATAAAACTCAACAAAAACAAAATAATAAATTAGCCCCAAAAGGTAACAATAAATCAAATTTAAAGATGCACAAAAATTTTAAATCACATATTTAAAGAAAAACATAATTTATTAAAACACTAATAATAACTAATACATGACCCCATTAAGCCAGAAACCTGGCTTGAGACCCCTGCTCAGTCTGGTCAGTAACTGCATTTGACTGCACCTCCAAAATGTCTCTGTCACGGCCATCATCTCCCTTTCGTTTTTCTATCCCTGGAGTCCCTGCCTCAAACTTTCTCACCTGGAAAATCACATCACCTCTGAGATGGTCTCCCTGGATTTGGTCTTGCTCACTCCTCCAAGCCCACCCCAGGCAGCGGGGATCTTGAAACTGCAGGGGGCAAGGGAATCATCTGGACGCTACTTGAATGTGCGATTCCCACACTTACCCCCCCCCCCCCAGAATTTCCTCCTGCGCTGCCTTCCTGGTAAGTCCAGTGCTTACCTTAGAAACTGAGCTCAGTGAGCCATTTCCTTTGATAATTTCCTCCACCGCACTACCACTGACAAGAGTTAACGTGATACTGTTTTCTCTTTTCCTGCTTGCTCCTGACCTCCATCCACATTTTTATGACTTTTCATTTCATTTCCTTGTTTTATCTCTCTGCCTCGCATGCAGAAGGCACTGAACAGACAATGTTGAGCTAAAAATTGAGCTCCTTAGGGGGTAGCAACAATAAAGATTCCCCTTTGGATTATCTGGTCCTTTCAGTTAAATATTTTAGTTCAGTTTAGTTTATAGCATTTTCTCTTTCCTACTTATTCAAATTAATTCTAAAATACTTTTTAAAGCCTACTGTGCATGCCATTGTATCATACAATAGTGCTTCTTAAAAGTCTCTGTTTATGTGCTCAAACCTACGGATACTGGCTTTCTTTGCCTTTTATTCTCTTATTTAACTAACAGTTTCTGTCCCAGTTAGGTAGGTTATTAGCACTTTGAAGACTGTCTGATATTCTTTGAGATGCTTTATACTAGTAATGAATGTTTTCCTTCCAATATCTCCTTCCAAATAATACAGTATCAGGTAGTATTAAATTATCCCCATACATTTGTATTTCTACCTAATGGACTTCTTTAAAGAAGTGCTTGCGAAAGTTAATAGCAGCCTAATACTTGATCCATATCCCTAATCAATCAATAAGTTATATGTGTGTGTTTAAAGATTTTATTTATTTATTTTTAGAAAGAGGATAAGGGAGGGAAACATGGATGTAAAAGAGAAACATCAATCAGTTGCCTCCACAGGCCCCCAGTGGGGGACCTGGCCCACAACCCAGGCATGTGCCTCGACTGGGAATCACACCAGGGAGACTTCTGGGTTCACAGGCTGGCACTCAATCCACTGAGCCACACCAGCCAGGGCTGTGTGTGTTTACATGCATGACCTAAGAACCCAGTTCACATCCTGAGAGAGATTGATACAATGATAACAGAAAGAATGGACCACTGTCTCTCTATATTTATCTCTGAATCTTTGTACTTAACTCAAAAACCTCCTCTGGATTCTGGAAGCAACCTGTAACAGTTGAAAACATGGAATTAATATTGTAGTTCTAATCTATCCGTAAGTGAACTAAAACATCTCTTGTGTACACCTATTCAAAAGTTCAGGTCATGAAGTCAAGCCTGTACATAACAATGCATTTAAATATTGCTGCTTTATACAATTCTTTATATATCTTTATTATGTAAATCTGTCTCTCAAAGGAGAAAATGCTGTCAAAAAACAGACAGCAAAACTCAAACTTGTCAAAATACTGCAGTCTAAAATAATTTTCTAACAGAGAAAGACACTTTCTTTTTTTTTAGCAGAAGAGTGGAGTTATTGCAAATGTACTCTTTCTGACATCAAAACAGTAAGAATGACTACTCATCCTGTATTTGTACGGCTTAGAGTTATTTGGATGTAGTAAAAATATCTTCTCTAGCCATAAACCCTTAAATCTTCCCTACAAAGATAAAAACCATCCATTGCAATTAACAGTAACACCCCTGACACGTCCAGACACCCACACGACACAGTGTGGGCAGTCGGAGAGCACTGTTAGCATTACCCAGAAAGTTGCATGACGCACCACATTCTCTCTGACCAAAGAGCAAATGTTCTCAATGCAGCATTGGACCAAAACTCAGGACTGTGCCAGAAGATACACGATGTAAAGTTACAAGCATGCTCCGTGGAGAAATGAGAATTTATACTAAAGTTTAAAATCATTTGTAGGGTAGCTATAATTTTTTTTAAAAAACAGAAAATAAGTGTTGACAAGGATATGAAGAAATTGGAGCTCTCAGACATTGCTAGTGAGAATGTAAAATGGTAATGATTTTTGGCAGCTCCTCAGTAAGTCAGACATAGAATTACCACAGAACCCAGCGATTTCACTGCCATGTACATACCCAAAAGAATAAAAATCAAGGACTCAAACAGATACTTACACACCAATGTTCATAGCAGCACTGTTTTCAAGAAAGTATAGGAAAAACACAAATGTCCATCAATAGATGAATGTATAAACAAAATATAATATATATACATAATGGAATATGCATCACCCTTATTAAGGAACAATACTAATGAATCTAGAAAACATTATGCTAAGTAAAAGAAGGCAGACACAAAAGGCCACATATAGTATGACTTCACTCATAGGAAATATTCAGAATAGGCAAACTTATAGAAACAAAAGTCAGGTTCATGGCTGCTGGAGGCAGCAGGGAAGGGAGAATGGGAGCAACCACTTAGTACGTCCTGCTTGCTTTTGGGGCAGATGAAAATGTGTGGCGCTGGATAGTCATGATAGTTTCATGACGTTGTGAATGTCCTAAATGGCACTGAACTGTACACTTTAAAATGGTGACTTTTATATTATGTGAATTTTACCACAAGAAAATAAATCACTTGCAACTAAATAATTTTGAATGATACAATTCAATTCTGAGATATTCCACAGTAAAAAATATTTTTGATTAAAGAATACTTATCAATACAAGCATCTGTAAGTTGCTTGAATTATGAAATAACAGCCTCAATGTAACTGTCCCATTTCTAAGTAAACATACCATAGCAGTAGAATTTCAAAGAATCTTGAAAATAGAAGATGTTTGGTGAATGTTTGTTACATTGAATTGAAAAGACAGAAGGCTGAAAAGTCAAAGAACATAAACCCCAAATTCATAACTTGAGTGATGTAAGATTATCACAGATTTCTACAGTAAAATACCTGGAAGACCACAAAGTCTGTAAAGCTTGACAAAAACCCTAATGCTCTACTTTGAAAACCAATAAACTCTCAGCATTCCAAAGAATTACTGGCTGGTCCATATCATTACTCAGCATTATGTATAGATATGAAGATTCATCAACAAAATTTATGTGGGATGCTTATTATATGCTAGGCATAATTCTAAGCACTGGAAATATGAAAGTTATTAAGGCAAGGTTCTTACCCTAAAGAATCTTATGAATAAAATGGAAACCATGCATGTTTTACATACTGCAATTTTATGTATGCCAATAATGCCACTCAGCAACAGCAGAGGAATGTATAGCCAAGCAGAGTCAACAGTAAGTGCAGATAAATAACTTACTGCTACAGCCTTTCTAAGTGGTATTTAAAGCAAAGCACCAATAAATCAGTATCATCATGTTATCCAGACAACTGCTAATATCATGCTGGATATTTGAGATGGTAATGGCGTTCTCCTAAACTCTGAAGCTCTGTTTTATTCATGTTTTGGCTCCCTAATCAATCAGAGGAGTGGGTAAATGTCTCATTGCAGGCTGTTATTGCTAAGAAAGAAATGTTTTACACACAGAATCCTGTACTTGGCATTACTAATACTTGAGTTCATGGATGGCATCCCTACCTTAGTGTATTTTGCCATCTGGCTGTGTAAGCAAAATGCCCATCAGAACTATTTAAGAGCAATGAGAGAGTGACCTAAGATCTAAACACATATGAGTCAATATAGTATAAATCGAACTTCCACACACTGTGAAAATGTAAAGTATGAACTGCTTACCTGGTGTCCACTGCCCTTCTGACACAGCATAAGCCATGGTCCAAGAAAGAGTTCCAACCTTGATCTATTTTCTTCATTTCACAGGTGGGGACTGGGGAGAGAAAATCTAGACTTACTATCTTGCCAGGCACTTTAGTAGGCATTTTAAAAAAGATTTTATTTACTTATCTTTAGAGAGGAAGGGAAGGAGAGAAATATCAAGGTATGGTTGCCTCTCATGAGTCCCCTGCTGGGAACTGGCCTGCAACCGAGGCACGTGCCCTCACTGGGGATCAAACCGCAATCGTGTGGTTCGCAGGCTCACGCTCAATCCACTGAGCCAGACCAGCCAGGGTGGCATTTTTATATGTAACCTCACAAAAACCCAAACCAGTTTATTATTATCCACATCAATCTCATTTAAAACTTGCCCAAGTTCACCCAGCAACTAAAGCGGTGGCTGGGGAGGAGTCATTGGACCCAGGTTTAATTTCAAAGATTGTCTTCTAGACAGTTTTGCTCCATGATGTCATACTCCACAGACCATTCTTTAAAAGGTGACCTAAAATAATAGCTCTCAACCAGGGGTGCTTCTCAGAATTACCCTATGAGTTCTACACATCATGCAAAAACTCTAGGGCTGAGACCTGGGCATGTATATCTTAAAAATTCCTCCAAGTAGCCCTGGCTGCTGTGGCTCAGTGGATTGAGTGCTGGCCTACAAACCAAAGGGTCACCAGTTCAATTCCCAGTCAGGGCACATGCTTAGGTTGCAGGCCAGGTTCCCAGTAGAGGACACACGAGAGGCAAACATGCATTGAAACAACCATGCATGTTTCTCTTCTCTTTGTCCATCCCTTCCCCTCTGCTAAAACTAAGTAAATAAAATCTTTAAAAAAATTATTTAAAGTAATTTTATCCATTCATCTGGTTAAGAAGCTCTGCCTTCAAGTATGTTGCTGGAGGAAAACAATTCCATAATTCAAGAACACCTCACACTGAAGAACATGAACTTCCGGATTCAAAGGGCTCAACAAGTGCCTGGCCTAACTGATGATGATAGAGCCCCACAAGGCACATCACTAGGAAATGTCACGACACTGAGAAAATGAACTCTGAAGAGCTTTTCCTAAAGTTACATGTGAAGACTATGGAATGAGAATAGCTTTAGACATCTTACAACAACTCTGGAAGCTAGAAGGTAGAGAAGTAATGGCTTCAAAATCAGAAGAAAATTATCTCCAATCTAGAATTTTTCACCCAGCCAAACTATTAGTGAAATATGAAGGTAAGATAAAAAGCATCTTCAGACATGCAAAGTCTCGAGAAAATGACTTCTCACATACCCCTTTTCAGTAAGCACAAGAATGTGTTCCACTAAAATGAAAAAGTACCAGGAGTATCTTTAGAAAAAGTACGACATGAGGCCCTTTCCTAACAAAGACGCCCACACAGGAGAGTGGAGGGAATCCCCAGGCAGACGAAAAGCATGATGCCAGGCTGACAGCTGTGTCAACTCCGCTGTTGTGCGCCGCAAGCAAGTATAAACAGTATGAATACAAATGGACGCGGCTGTTTCCATGCAATTGGTTTATAAAAATAGGCAGCAGGCTGCACTTGGCACACGAGCCACAGTTTGCTGACCCCTGACAAAAAAGCACAGAGAAAGCTCAACAAATTTATAAACATGGAAATTATACATTCCCAGGAAAACAACAAGTTGTGTAGAGAAGTGAATGTTATTATGGCTCAGATAAATGGGAGTAACATTTACATAATCATAATAATGTAACTACTGATACTGATGCTACTAAAATAACTACGTGTCTATGAAATAACTGTATTAGGAGAATGGAAGAAAGGGGAATATGCAAACATGTGACGTGATCGGTGCAGGGGAGAGCAGGTAAAGAAAGTCCTCATGTTTTATAATAGGAAATAACATCTAAAATGAAAAATATCCAGAAGTAGCCAAGATGATGAACTTCTCAGTCCCAACTGAGGCCAAACCTTACAGAGTAAATAAAATGGGAGAAGGGAATGAAGTGCCAAACCACGGTGGCTCAGAAGAAGTTAAAGTTGTTACTCAAGATGTCATTTGGCAATGCCCACACGGGGAACTCCAAGAAACGAGAGACCGACACCAAAAAAGCTCTGATACTTCTCTCTCCTCAACACAGAGAGATCTGATTCCTAACAAGAGTTCATCTGCTAAGAAGCACACAGACACTGAGCCCGAGGCCACTAGAAGGAGAGCCCTGGTGGTGCACATCCCTTGCTAGTTCTGGTGGAATATTACAGGGAGAGGCAAAACATCCCATAAACACTGGCTGATAAAGGCTCTGCACCTAAGCCTGGACTTAGGGCAAATGCACAAGATCGGACTCAACAATACAGGACTCGGGGTTTAGGAGGGACTTCCCCAGGCCACATGGAGCAAGAGAAACAGGGTCCTGACCTAGATCCTTCTCTGTACCACACAACCTGTGACTTCTTATCACCTTGTTAGTGATGTCAGAACCCCTGGAGAGCCCCTACAATCACCTTTTGATGATCTAGGTTCAGTTGTTCCAAAAATTACTTCTGACACCCTCCTAAAATCTCAAGTTAAGGAATCCTACTAACCGTATAACAATCAGTATAACAATCAGTATAACAATCCTATTGTTTTACTGAAATACATAATAAAATAGTACCTTAAAATATCAGCCTTTGTGGCTTTTTTTAATATTCTGTACTTACCTGGACCCTATCCTAGTCCATCTGAGGCCCGGACATTGCCTCACAGAGAACTAGGACAGTCACAGCCAGTATGAGGAAACAGGGGCGTGGAGTTTATGTTGGAATAATGGATTGGAGAGAGAACAGGAAAAGGCCAATTGCCTTTTCTCCCTCTACCAGGTTAATTGAGGATCTCTTGGGCTGGGGTTGAGAGAAAAATGGTTGTGGGATGACTTTTTTTGTTTTTGATAAACAAGAGGAATGAACTTGGGGAAGACGTAGTAACTAATACCAGGAAATGGCATGAAAGCTGAGTCAGTACTCATCAACCAGGCAATGCCATGGTAATGAAGATGACATTATGGGCCCAGGTGAGGGGGTATGGAATAAAAGTACCAGTAACAAAAGCCCACATATAATCCTTGAAGCATCTCAGAGATGGACACCCACTCATGCTCAGAGACTTTCTGAATGCCACGTGGACCGCTACTGGAGGACATTCCAGGATAGTCATAAGTCCATGCCACCCAGAGTGCAGTGGGTCATAAAGGGGAGCCACTGGCAGCCTGCGGACACAATAGGACACAGTAGTGAAGTCACAGACACTTGGACTGTGGAGGCTTTATCTGACTTTACCCAAACAGGAACTCTTTAAGGAATACAGTCTAAATGAGACTTGTTTTCATCTATTTACTTTAAGAGTTCATGCCATGTCTGGGAAAATGTGCGTCCCCCAAGTTTGCACTTCCCTGTGTGAAATATATCAAGAGGTAAATAAGCCCCCTAGGAAGCAAGCTGTGAATTTGGAAATCTTGGTTAGCCTCTGATTTGAATGAAGGGTTCATTAACAAGAGTTCCCACTGGAGCTCCATAAATGCCCAGATTAGACAGTTACTAATTCCAGACAGTGATCCAAGCATCTTAACACCACCAAAAAAAAAAAAAAAAAAAAAAAAAAAAAGGAAGAAGAAAGGAGGAATACTTCCCTTTGGGTATTGGTGCATCTAAATATTTATGGGCTGTTCTCACTTTTAAAAGTGCATTTTTCGATGGAGTTACACCATTGCATTTTTAAGCAAAGGTTAAGTTTTACTCAGGCTTTGCATCTCTGTTCAATCTTTACCTATAATTTATGACCAGCAATTACACTATCAGTTTAAAGCTATGATGCCCTTGTTAAACACCACCACCCAAATTTAATAAATATGTAGAGATATGAGGTCAACAATCTTATATGTATTTATTTAGGAATTTTATCAGAGAGGAAAAATGATGTAGTAACCTTTTCCAAACAGAACAGGCGATGATCTGTCGATAAATCTACGGAATCAGGAATGTGAAAGCTCAGACTTTTTCTAACAGCAAGTGGGAGATGCCACCTAACAAGACACCTGCTAACTCTTCAATGTTTATGATGGGTCCGCATGTCCACGTGGCATTAGGTAAGAAAGACGGTTCCAGCTGACAGACTAGAGTTGAAAGGGCCAACGCTGCCACTAGGTCCTGGCATGTTGTAGCTCAGGGGGAAGCACCGTGGCAGTGTAAGTGTGTGGGTCATAGACACTAACTGTGGGGCAAACAGGCTGATTCGTGTCTAAGACAGCTCCTAGTAAATTTCAGGGTACGTTTTACAACCTTACCAAACTAGTTGTTTCAAACTCAGCAGCTGAGTTATGTGACTTAAGTAGCCTAAGTTATCCAATGTTAACAAATGAGGAGGAGCTGCTGCCACGATCACAAGCTACGGAACAGTCAAAATGCTGGCAAAGGCTTAAAGTGTGTGCTGGGTGGACACTGGAGTCCAGGGTAAGTGCTCCAAAGGAAGCTGAATGGAAGCCATGATGAGGAAGGGATGATATTCTCTTCAATGCCTTAAAGGTCTGAAGAGGAATTACAGACTCCAGGGCTAGGAAGGATCTTAGAGATTACCTAACCCGAGTTTCTTTTTTAACAGACGAAGAAAATGAGACCGTGAAAGTTGTTACATGTCCACTGTCACGTGAGTTTCTTTGATTCCTGTTTAGACTCTTTCTACTATACTATTCTGGGTTCCTCTACTTAAGTTCCTCAAAGACAGGGACTTTACACCATCCCCGAGTTCCATAATCCCTCCTAATGAGGGATTTCATGGTATGAACTCTGGCCCCTTAGGCCTCCTCCCTGCAAGTCAACCCTTTCCTTGCAGTGTCCACAGACCACACAAAGCAAGTGAGTACTAATGTAACATGCTTCTCTTCACAACTTCAAGGAGGAGGTAAGTTAGTAGCAAGATCCAACCTCAAATTATTGCTCCAAAGATGAAGGAAGAGTCATGGAAGCATCACCCTCCAGGGAGGCCAAAATCCATTCCTGGAGGAAGATGAAGGGCTAATCCGATGTACACCCTACAAAACAAATCTGCCAAACAAGGTCTGCTGGTGGGAGACAAAGCCCACACAGTATGATTGGTGAATATGTGCACTGAGTCTCCGTGCACAAACATCAACACAGGAATTCATTTGAGAAAGTCATGCAGGTAACTGTGTCTCCTTTGGGGTGACTTGTACACCCTTCATTCTTTCAGCAAATATGTACTGAGCATCTACTCTGTGCCAAGCACTGATTCAGACTCTGAGGACACAGAGGTGGAAAAGCCACTAGTCATTCGCAGATGACGTCACAGTCCTTCTGACCATTTCCTCCCCAGCCTATCACCCAGCCTCCTATGTCCATCCAAACATCTCTTACCTCTCTCCTGCTTTATCTTTGCTTCCAGAGCCAGCACGCTGGCTGGCCTAGGCTTTCATCATCTCAGGCCTAAACTAGTGTTTGAACTGTTCTCCCAACCCTCTTTCAATCTAAAATCTACAGAGTATAGTTCCAAAAATCCTGACTTTTTCCAATTAGTTCATTCTCAAAAGCTTCATATGGCTACATACATCCTACCTCAAAGTCCCAAATCCATGTCTCCAAGTTCTAGCTCCAACTCTCATGTCTGAACTTAATCAGTAGGAATCCTATTCAGAAGCAATTTTAAACTGGATTAATGTTTTTGACCAAATTTTCTACAAGCTTACACAAAAAGAAAAAAGATTTATGAGACAAGAAGTTCCTTCATTTAGGTGGGTTAAGTTCCTGGAAAGGTTATTTTAACTCAACATAAAGTAGATAGACATTAATTTTCCCATAGAAATAATATTATAAATATTTTCACTCTTGACTAGGAAGCTAATGCCCAATATTCTTATTACAGGTCAAGACAGTAGGAACAATGTTGTACAGTAAAACACTGTTAGCAGAATTTTCTGTAGAAACAGCGACACTTGTAACCAAGCACCTACTGAGCGCCCCTTTGTAGACAGAACCCACGATCACCATCCATTATCAACTATAAGTTAACCACCTGGTGCAGAGTACAATATAAAGATTTCTCGTGTGTGTGTATGTGAGCAATCAAGGTAATGCAGTCATAACAAGGCATTTAATATGATATGCTATCAGAACTTACACAATATTCTTTGCTTACTTGATAACTTCCACTTTATTTTCACTGCAGTGAAGCAGAAGGCTTCCTCAAGGACACAGAATTTAGCGGCATGACCTTGGGTAAACTCTGAGAGCGTCTTCAAGGTAGACCTAGTGCTACTTGTGGCTGTTTCAGTGATGCTGATACTAAGATATCTAAACCATCGGTGCCCCTGTTTTTTTCTCTCTCTCTAAAGAAAACTCTTGTTGTAGGAAGCTTAAGAGCTTCAGCATTTGGGATTGAATTACAGGTCTTTGTGTTTTTGAAAACTTTCTTGAGCGGCACTATGACTAGCACAATCATGCTAAAATAATTAAAAGTGAGCCTCTCGAATAAACTCTCATATTTTAATCTCTACCGATCCTTGCTTCACAGTGTTAAAAAGAACCAAAGTGTGGCAGGCAAAGGTAAGTCTGAGAACTCAGCACTAAGTTTGATTTGAACCAAGTGAAGCAAGTCTCTCTACTCTCCCGAGTCTCTCTCCCAGGTCACACCTGGGCTATTGGCTTATAGTTATGGAAGGTAGCCAGCCTCCCACATGTAATCAGTCAGTCAGCTGGATTTTTTGTAGATAGATTATGAAAATATCAGTGGCTAATTTTTTCAACAAACATATGAGATTGTTCAAGACAAATGTTTTTGCTCCTATGTGTATCAAAACCTTTAAAGTGTGTGTTCCTGTTCATCAGTAATAGACTCAGGAATTTTACTTGCGGTAACTTTTTTCCTAAGGAAATAAACATCAAGTATGCAAAGATGTATTGATAAAAATGTTCTTCACAACAGTGTTTATAACAATGGAAAGGGGAAAATAATCTAAGTATTTATGAACAAGGAAAGACTCCATAGATAAGAATGTGTCCAGGCAATGCGATACTGTCTTAAGACTGGGTTCCTTCCAGAAAGCAGAGGCCAAGGGCTTGCATGTAAATAGTTTATTTTGAGAGGTGAACCCAGGGAATGGTAGTGAAGGACAGGAGGAAAGGAACGAGGCAGAAGAAAAATCCAGTATAAGAATGTATTATCAAACCAGAAACTGCGGGAAACCAGAACCTGATCAGACTGGAGGCCTCTGAGGAACCGTGTGGAATGTGCCCCTCGGAACAGCCCACACGACAGAATCAGGGAGCATCTGTCGACTGGCTCTTACCACCAGCGGGTCGAGGGCTTTCCTATTTACTGACATGGGAGATGTCTGCTATCAGTAAGGGAATAACAAAGTCATTATAGCAAGTTACGAAATGCTGTACATAGTGTGATCCCATTCCTTTTAGTTAGTTAGCTTCAGTTTCTGCTAACAGAGTCCCCTGAGGTAGCTTTTAAAGAGAAGAGGGTGGTTGGGTGGAAGAATTAATGGAGCAATAAAGGAACGGGGACCTCGGAGGAGCCGTGGTAAAACACAGACGGCCCTCCAGCAGACGGGAAGCCACCAAACACAGACACAGTTCGGATGCTAAGCACTCTCCTCGGCTCTCTCCCCCTCCCTCATGAACTAGTTCTGACCCTCTCTCACTCCCGACTGGCTCCCTCGCCCTGTCCTGTGTGTCTCTGAGTCTCTACCGCCTCGTATGAGACATGGTTTCTGCTTCTTCACAGCCTCTATGTTCCACCACAACCATACAGGTTGTTTGTGGCTGAAATCCACTCTGGTTGGCAGGTGAACATGTGATTCCATTTGATAAAGATGTTTAATGTCAATTGTGTATATACTCTCACACATATACGAGTGTGTGCACACACATAAGCACTAGGCATTTGTGGAGAGGGGCCGGGATGTGGAAGGAAATAAGAGACAAAATCACTGGAAGAAAGGAGAACCCAGCCAGAGCCAGCAGAGGACACTGTCACTGCACCCCCAAATGGACAGTTCATGTATACACTAGTGATGCACACACACACAGGAATTCCTGCAGCCCAGTGCCAGAAATGACGTTCTCATCTTAGTCTACACACAGAGTGTGGTGAATAAAAGGAAGGAAGTATTTGAGGAAATGCCTTCTCTCCATCTCCAGTGAATGTGTTTACCCTGACAAAGGCGGGATACTAGCTCTTTAATGTATCTCTCTACAATATATCAAAGCAGTCAGTTGCTCAGACCCTCATAATTACATGCATGAGAGCTGGGAAACTACAGCCCTCATAACAGCATCAACTTTAAGAAATCTGAAGATGACCATTCATATTCATCTCTATGCCCCAGCACATAGTAAACAGTCAATATTAGTAAATATTCCGTTAAAAGATCAAGTATTTTAAATTAAACATCACTTATAGCTCATATCTACCATTTTGGGCCCCTATATTCATCATGAATCTTCTTAAAGGAACCACCTTCCCACCAATTTCAAGCCATGTGGTTTGAATGTCTTCTTCCCACACTTAAATCTAGTGCGAGCCATCACCAGACTAAGTTCATCAGCAGATTCGATCCTTTTACCCCAAGCACTTGATTCGAGGATGGGCACATGACCCAGTTCAGCCACTGAGAACCAACCTGGGGCTTTCCTTCACATGCCAGGGGTGAGAGGTCTCCTCCTGGCCCCCAGACTTGCAGTCTTGGCAGCACGAAGTCTCAGGAGACTGCAACCTTCTGTCCACTGTGAGGGGAACTCTGTCTGACGAGGGAGCCTGCATCGGAAGAGAGAGAAGTGGGGTGGCCCGGCCCTGAGGGGGTCCCGAGCACTGTACCAGGAGGCAGTGAAGCCACCGTCCCTACTGAACTTGCCAGTTTTAAAGGCAGTAAATCCCCCTTTTTATTTAATCTACTTGGATTGAGCTTTCTTCACTTTCAACCAAAGAAACTTAACTGATACACTGGTTGTAACATATAGATGCTGACTTGCTTCTATGATTTCTTCCAGGAATAAACATGGAACAGACCCAGTCAGAAATAAAAGTTACCAATAAAGTATTCTGTAAGGGGGCCATCTTACCTGAAAACTCTTCACCACTAAATCTTGAGTTTAATTCATTAAACTGGGTCTTTACAATATTGCTGTTTATTTATAAAAAGCCCTTACATATGATTCTTAATTTCAGAACAGACTGTTGAGAATGATAACCTACCTTATGGAATGAGAACTATAAACAAAAAAAATATGAGAACTATAAAAAAAATTAGCTGAATTTGGCTACCAAAACAGTCTCTATTTTTGTCCAGATGTCTCTTTTCCCTTCACTGTTCAGGCCAACCCTCTGCCTTTTTCACAGTAGGTGTGGGGCAGCACGTTACTTTGGGTAGGGGGGCCCTGGTTCATACCCACCGCAGCTATTTGCAGCTCCTTCTACCCTGCCTCCAAATTCCTTTTAAAATTCCAAGTCCTTATTAATAACACTCCTAAAGAGGTCTCACCAGGCCTTCCTTGTACTTCAGACAATTTTTAGCTCCATGGTTCTTCCCAATTTAAAAACAAAATGAATTTCACAAACAGAATTGAAATGTCAAATTTCACTACCATCTGGATTTAAAGACTGCAAGGAAAACTAGGTTTGGGTTGTTTTATTTTTGTAGCCAAAGTGAATGTGTTACAGTACGTTTGTTTTCGGACCATTTACCTCTCTATCCTGCATTTCACTCTGGGCGAATAAGGTGTGCAAGTGAAGAAGAGGAGACCATCCAGGAAATTCTAAGGGGGAGCCTATAAAATTCAGTAGTTGCATTGATATCATGGAAGAAAAATCTTCCCACTCCTCTTCATCATCGTCATGAAGATAAACCAATCTGCTCACTGCACTGAATTTAGAACCGTGAATGTGAGTTAACAACTTGGCTCTTCTCCTCTGGGGGCTTACAATCTGATCTATGTACAGACATAAAAGATACACGGGCAACTTAACGAAGTCTTTACGGCCCATCCATTTAAAGCACCGTGCACTCCAGTGCCTGCAGGGGAGCAGAAAGAATGGCAGCAGGAGAGACATGAGGTGGGTAGAGCTGACAATGGAGGAGAGGTGGCAGTGAGGAAGGTGAGTCCAAGCTGCTCCTGTCACGGGCACCAGAGACATCACTTCGCAGAAGAGCCCAGGCCTGTGACACAGGTAAGAGGCAGCTGAGTGGCCCCTTACCCTGGAAAAGCCTCTACAGAGTGCACCACGTGATTTTCTGGAGAGCCCCTGAAGAGCTGGTCAAGGACGAACCACCGAATTTTAGAGATATCGATCGACACCAAGACCTACTCTACCTAAAGGCAAACGAGGGGCGAAAGAAAAGATTTTCCATTTGAGAGGGACAGCCATGTGTCAGAGGAAGAGGGAAAGCCAATATTCAGGGAATAGTGTGAGACACAGGAGGGTCTGCTGATGGCCAACCAGGAGTTCCAGAGAGCACACAGGGGTGGGGGAGGGGGAGTGCGAAATGACAGGGAAGCAAAGGAAGTGGAGTCAGACTAGGGAAGGCAGAAAGCAGTGCTGAGATGTGCAACACATGATGATGATCTGGGAGGTTCCAACTTCTTGTGCTGACTGAGGTTTAACTGGCAGCTGGGTGTGTTGAGAGGAATCTTGGGAAGTTGGAGAAGGGCAAGTAACCACTGTCATCCACAGTATTTAGCTGGGAGGTGTGGGGTCATTCTTTATTCCTGGACCTCCCCAGGGGTGTCTGGGCCTCAGCAATGGGAGCAGGCTTCCTTAGAGAACAGCTGGCCAGTGAGCAGTGGTGGCTGGGGGAGAGGGTGCTCACTGGGAGCGCCGGGGTCCTTCCCTCCACTGCAGGGTGGTCACAGCCAGAGCACCTGTGGGACTGTGGGTGCTCCCAAAGGTGGGAGGCACAGACCAAAGGAGCACAGTCTATGTCAGGGCAGATATTTCTGTGCCAATAGAATACGAGACCGGGAGAGGAGTTGGAGCCACTAGACTCTCTTCTTCTGGGGAGACAGAGGAGAGTGTAATTGTTTCCTAGTCACCCGAATTCTAGCCTTCAACTAACAAGCTTTCTTGGCTCCATCCCCCCCCCCCCCATTATCCTGAGGTGTGTCTCTTTGGACTCCAAAAATGTCCTTTTCTTCCTTGACCATAATTTTAGTAAATGATACAAGATATGTATAACTGACCTGCCTTCATGCAACATTTCCAAGAAACTGCAATGATATTTGAGACTTCAGACAACTACCACTCCCTTATCATCCTTTCTTCTCACTCCCATTAAAACAAAAAACAAAAACAGGAAGACAAAGACACAGGACAGATAGTTAGATGACAGATAGATAATAGAAAGGACAGACAGTTACAGAGAGATAGGTAGATGCATGATAGATAATAGATAAATGAGGAAAAGGAAGGGGAGGGAAGAGGAAGGCAAGGAGAGAAGAGAGGCAAGGAGGAAGAGGAAGAGTAGAAGGGAGGGGAAGGGAGGAGGGGAAAGATAAGTAAAATCTAAGTAATCCTTCCATAGCTGAACTAAGGTCTAGGTATTCTTTGGACTAATCTAGGCCTACAATCTTATGAAAAAAATAATCTTATTTAGAAGTCTAATCAGCAAAATTAAAGCTAACTTCCTAATTACAGCTTCCAGACAAGTGCAGATCTGAAGCAGGAGAGGCCTGAACAAAGTTAGAAGGCCACTCTGGAACTGTCTTCCTAACCTCTGAATGAGAACTGATTTTACAATTCCCAGGGTAAAAGAATTAGTTCAGAGACAAAGCCAGACCTCTAGTCCCAAAACCTGCTATAAATAGAACCTGAACCCTGCTCTTGCCAGGAACACTGGAGGCTTCACTCAGGGTTAATCTCTCCATAATGATGAGGAACCAGCACTGTCTCTCAAGGAGGATCAGCTCAAGAAGGAAGTCAGGATCAGAGTTGACAGAGCCTACAGAATCCTCACTTACAGTCAGTTTTCTTCCTCCAGTGGCCCACAAGACTTCCCCTATTCTGCATTTAAATAAGCACCATTATTTTTTTCTTGATTATAGAACCTACAGGACATTCCAGAGACTGAGATGAGTGAGTAAGCAGGCATAGCCCAGACCATACACACTCCACCTCTGATGCACATATGAATTTCCCATGAAGAGCTCCCAGCACCCAACTCTCAGAGTCAATGATTTCAAATCCCTTACATCACTTCGTCCTCCTGTCCAATCTCCGAGGAAGATGTTGTTTTCATTCCCATTTTACAAATGAAGAAACCGAAGCTGAAGCAGATTAAGTAGCTTCACCAAGTCAGTCCTTAATACATGGGAAGGTTGGTCTTACATGCAAGGCATTCAATGCCAGCTCTTGTGCTGTATCAACATCATGAATACCACCCTGTCCACTTAAAGGAGTATTCTGCAATTCAAAAGGACCAATTTTAAAAGTTGACTTATTTGGGGGAACTTCTCTGCACTTTTTAAAGATGGCATGGCAGTCACCCAAGCAAGTAGGAACTCATTTTTTAAATTCTATAGCATTTCAAAGAAAGTAAAATTATCCGAAAAAGTGTGAGAATTATTCCTCCAGGGCACATAACTGTTTATATAGCTACGACAACTTTTAAAACAATGTTGATGCATAGTGACATCTGTTCCATTTAAAAAGAGAGGAAGAAAGAGAACTCCTGACCTTTTCAGGTTCAACATTGGATCAGTCAGTCCAAAGTAAGTATTCTGGGCATTGCTGTGTAACAGCTCCATTCTGCATTCCAAAATATTTATATGTTGTGACACCCTTGAGCTATATTTGCTTATAGTAGTTAGCTTTAGGATCACTTTAAGGCACACAGAGACCTGTAATCTAGCCAGTGGCCCAATTAGATGTTTTCAGAACTGCCTATCGCCTGCAGCCTCCTCTTAAATAGCTGTTTCCGCTATCCCCTCTCCTCTCCTTCTATCTACCCCCAACATTTTCATTCCTGTCCAAATGGACTGCCACTATTGGCCATCTTATTTCACTTAATCTACTTATTTAATATGACTTCTAGATCACCCTCCTAATGTGAATAAGCATTGTTATACTTTCTCCACACGTGTCTCAGACCGATCATCCTATATTCCAAAACCTTTCTGTAATAACCTGTCCTCACTTCAGGTAAAGATCATCTGCTTTCCCCACTATCTGCCATCCCTCCACACGGACCTGCAGGATCCTCCCCAGTTGCTTTAGAACCAGGCTGCATGTCCTTCTCAACACCTGGTCGGTCCATCCTCCACTGGTATCTTTGGATCTTCCTTTGCACTTGGAATCCTCCATCATTTCTGGGAAGATCCATACCTATTGATAACCCTGACACTGGCCTCCCTCCTCTTTAATCCCAGAAAACTCCATCTCAATCTCCTTTTAATACATTTAAACTTTACCTTTAAAAAAATATCATATCTACTGCCCCATTTCTAAGATCTTAATCTGAAATTCAATTCCTCCTATAGGACCATAATCTGCCATCTCCCCAACTTTCCCATTCTTTCATCCCACTGCTCTTTTACCTTCATAACAGCCCACAATCCCATAGCCTATCTTAGTTCAGCTTGATCTGCTTTCCAATCCAGCCTGGTCCAATGGTCAGATAATTCACCGCCTCCCTAGAATCTCCTGTGCCTTGGTCTCCTACCCTTCCCACTTTGTCGATCACTGTCTCCTCTCCTCATTTACCAAACTGTCTCTGCCCCTTGCCTCCATTGTTTCACCCACTTATTCCTTAATTACATGAAATC